TTTGCACGCTTGAAGGCAGTTTGTGGGGTTTTCGGTAGGAGTCTATCTCGTTTGCCTACAGTCTCCATTGTAGTTCCTTGTTTGGTTTAACCAGTTTTATATTAAGGATCCTCAAAGGTAGCCCCAGAAAGGGACTACGATGGAGACCTTAGGCAGCCAGCATGCACACATAATGAGAACTCCATTTTGGGCATCTATGTTTCAGTTTTTTGCCTTGCCTGCTTGTTCGTTGATTCACTTACATGTAACAAGCATATAGATTACATATGGGAAGTTGGATACTTGGTAAACCTATGTATGTCTTGTCTATCTCAGACTCATACTCAACATCGTCAGGCAGTCTCGCATGGAACCTTGCACACTTGTTTTTGGATTCCGTTGCTTGCGTTTAGGGTTTAGGGTTTAGGGTTTAGGGTTTAGGGTTTAGGGTTTAGGGTTTAGGTTGCTTCCTTTTGTGTTCCCCCTGGCCCAGCACAAAGTAGCCGCAAAAGACCAGAAATCCGCAGTTTGAAAGACTTAAACTTGGACTCACTAGTCTAGGGTTTAGGGTTTAGGGTTTAGGGTTTTTTGATGTAGCGCGATGGGGCCCCGGAAAAAAGGAGTACCGGCCGCGCAGGCAGCTCACGCTAAGTGGCAGCAGAGCACTGCCGCCTTCAACTGGCGTGCGTTCGCACAGGGCCTTGGAGCGGCCTGGTTGAAGGTTTAGGGCTTATAGGGATTGTAGGGTTGTTATAGGGTTTAATTACAGGACTTGTGGGATTTAGGGTTGAAGGTTTAGGGCTTATAGGGATTATAGGGTTGTTATAGGGTTTACAGGACTTGTAGGAGTTAGGGTTGAATGTTTAGGGCTTAGTGCTTAAGGTCGGGATGCTGGGGCATCGCAAGTGTTAAGTAATGATTCTGATGCTGCTGCCGCACCAGTGCTGCCTCCTGCTCCTCCTCGTACGGCTTCCTCCTCCGCCTCCCTTCACCCTGCTGCTACTACTGCTACTACTACTACTACTACTACTACTACTACTACTACTACCCATCCCACCTACCAACTGGTGCCTAAACCCATCGTCATCACAGTCGCTTGTATTGAACACAGCATCACACGCAAGTACTGTAGATACCGAGAAAAATGGATGTGCTCTTGAGAAGTACATCATCATGTCCCCCGCCAACCCCCCCTCAAAAGCGGGGGGGGGGGGGGTTGGTATTGGACTACGACATCACGAAAGTACTGCTGTAAATACCGAGGAATATGGATGTGTTCTTAACAAGCTTTTAGGAGGGGTAGTTGGTAGGGGGGGTGACTGCTACTACCACAACTAGTACTACTAACTACTACTACTACTACTACTACTACTACTACTACTGCTGCTACTACCACCTACTACTACTACTACTACTACTACTACTACCACTACTACCACTACTACCACTACTACCACTACTACTACCACAGTACTACTACTGTTACTACCACTACCACTTCACATACTACTATTACTACTTCTGCTACTGTTACTACAACATCAACAACAACTACTACTAGTACTACTACTAGTACTACTTGTACAGCTACTACTGCTACGACGACTACTACTACTACTACTACTACTACTACTTCTACTATTGTTATATTGTTGCTACTACTACTACTACTACTACTACTACAACTCCTCCTACTACTACTCCTACTGCTGCTGCTACTACTCCTACTACTACTACGTACTACTACTACGACCAGAACGACATGAATGATATGGCCCTGGCTAAACATGGCCCAAGTGTAGCCATCAAGCAGATATACTGGATCACCACAGATACAAAACCCAAAACCCGTAACTCAGATTTCCAAAGCCCTACAGCCCGAAACATCCAGTAAACTCCCCGCAGGAAAGGACAACTAGAATCTGGAACCTAAACCCCTAAAAACTAGACCCGAAACCCCTAAACCCTAAACCCCTGAAATCCCGAAGCCCTAAACCCCCCGAGGCCCAGAAACAGCGGCGCATGACCGCAGAAAGCTCGTCTCCTCCTCATCCTCTGCCTTCGGGGCCGCCTGGCACGCCCAGCTTTTGGGCTTAGGGCTTCAGGGGTTTAGGGTTTCAGAGTTTAGGGTTTAGGGTTTTAGGGGGTTTGGGGTTTAGGGTTTAGGGGTTTAGGGTTTAGGGGTTTAGGGTTGAGGGTTGAGGGTTTCGGGGTTTAGGGGTTTCGGGTTTCAGGGTTGAGGGGTTTAGGGTTTGAAGGCTCAGGGGTTTGGAGGTTTGGGGTTGAGGGTTGTAGGGTTTAGGGGTTTAGGGTTTAAGGGCTTTAGGGGTTTCGGGGTTTAGGGTTGAGGGCGTTAGGGTTTTAGGGTTTAGGGTTGAGGGTTTTAGGGCTTTAGGGTCTTAGGATGTTGGGGTCTAGGGGTTTAGAGTTATAGGAGCGTTCGGCGATCGGGCTTCGGGTTTGGGATTTCTTAAAGAGTTTGGGTTTCAGCGTCCAGAGATTTTTCAAGACTTGCTGAGGGGTTCTATAACGCAAGACTCTGGTGGTGAGGGCAGTAGTCGCAGCCGCTCTGGTTGTTGTAAACTATTTTTGATGAGGTAATATAGAGTACAAGCGCACGATCATAAAGAGCTTGATCCGAAGCCCCAAATCTGCAACGCGAAGCCCCAAACCCTACAATCAATGCCAAACTTCTTGCTTGGGACTTGGGGTTTGGGGTTTAAACACTGCGGGCCCCGCAGAACCCCATCAGAACACTGAACGAAGGCCTGGACAAGGCGTGCCTTATCAAGCGAATCCGCCGGCGATTTCGCCGTGGCTGGGAGATCTACCTCAGATGTGAAAAGAGGGGCAGAGTTTAGGGCTAAGGCCTAGCATCTAGCGTTTGGGGTGAGGCTTTGGGGATATCCGAAGCGTCCGATACGCAAGGACTTGGTACTTGGGTACATGTAGCATAATATACTCGTCGGAAGGTAGAGGTCAGCAGCCTACCCTAAACCCTAAACCCTAAACCCTGAACCTTAAACCCTAAACCCTAAACCCTGAACCCTAAACCCGAAACCCTAAACCCTAAACCCTACTCCAACTTTTAAGGCCCCCC